ATATATATATATATATATGTTTCTCTGCAGAACTCTAATATACTCCAAAAAGGTTTGAGTTTATCCTTACTCAATGGTAAACTAAAGATGTAGACCATGTCCTATGTTAGTTAACATTCCCAAATTCTAGTAGGGTGCCTTCAGAGACTCCAAGTACTCAATAAGTAATCCTTGAGCTAATGGATAAATAGAATAAGGCCTTTATAAAAGACTGCCAAATCAGGAGACAGGGGTAACTGAGGCAAGGATGATGAATGAGGTCAGAAACTAGGAATCCAGGCAAAATGAACCTGGCAGGCAGGCAGCTTAACTCCTATGGAAGCCAAAGGTACAGTGAGCTAGGAAAGCCAAAGACCTAGAAATTAAAGTTTGGGAAAGTTCAGGAGTTTGTGGTTTTACACCAACAGCCTATTTAAAAAAATTTTTTTTAAATCAGCTGAATTTGAAGCTCCTAGTCACATGACCTTTGGCATATTGTTTCATCTTTGAGGGCTCAAGATGGCTGATCAATTTGGTCTCTAACACATTGTATAAATCTAGGTCACAGAATTCAAAGCAAACAGGAACAGAAATCCAAAAGGTTTAGAGGTGAAATTACCAGTGATTGCTGCAGTGGATCCTGATTTCCTGCTTGGTGCCACAATGCATGGTGAGAAAAAGGACTTAACAACAGAATTAAACAGATATGGGGAGCCAGGATGACCAGTGCTTGAGCAATAAGAGGCTCCAACAAGGAAACGCCCTGAACAGCCAGAGCCATCAATATTTATTGGTGACATCATAGTTAGATTGGGCTAAAGGGGCTACATGGAGTTGCTATGGATACATTGTTGATGCAGTCAAGGATTGAAAGGGAAAAGACAAAGCATTCTTGAATTAGGAACAAAAGGTTTTAACTCTGGGAATAGAGTTTGGGTAAGTCACTCTGACCTTGGCACGTAGGCTTTGGACAGACTCACTTCTATAAACAAGCTGATTGTGGGGTTAACTCTTTACAATCTGCGCTGCTTACAGCCTGCTTTGGGCATAATCTATGGGGAAGTCCCCTAGATGAAGTAATGCTTGTTTCATACTACTTTACATCAGGGACAGGCACTGGTAACTACATAGTAGCCCTAAGCCCTAATCAGTGAATGTAGCTGCCTATAAGCTGGGACAAGGCTAGAGCTAGAATTACAAGATATTCGTGTGGAAAATATGCCCAGTGCTACATATCATTAATGTGGCAGTTCATTCATACTGTTTGGCTGGTTTTGTCTTCAAAATTAACTGAACTGCATCAATGAATTGTGTAGTGTTGAGATGGATATTATGCTTAGGTCACTGTATGGCTGAGGATAAAGAATAATTACTCGTTTATTTTTGTACATGGAAAAGAATCTTCCACTTTAAGAAGCACATACAGAGCTATTCCATAGATGAATAACTTTGCTTTCTGATACTTTTCCCCAAAATGTTATTTTACAGGATAGTTAACCTGTACAAGAGACAGTGAATGAATGAGGAAAATGCTTGTAGCAAAAACCACATCAGCCACAGCACAGAGCTAGAAGCCAATGATACTTTGTAAGTACAGAAATCAGCAGGACTTTCTGTTACCTGTTCAGTATAAATGCAGGATTCTATGTTCAAGATAGAAACTGTCATTCTACAGTACAAATCAGGTAAGGACATCAACCACAAAATATAGCAAGAAACAGGAAGATGTGCTCTTATGAAGAAAAATAAAAGCAAAAATAAACAACCAAAATTTATTTCTTTGGACATAACAATGATGGCAAGATTTCTGAAAGTTTATTCCTCTATTTAGTTTAGGTAGCACCACTAGTAAGTAACCATTAGTAGCTACGCCAAAGTAATGTGAGGCAAGTACTACATGAAGGCCAACTGGGTAACACAGGATTTAATTTTCTGTAGAATTTATTATTAAATATTGTGTTAAGAAAACAAAAGCAGATCATCTTAATATAGGAAATTTGTCAACTTGTTAAACAAAAATTTTTGACCCATGCCACACAAAAAGATAACTTCATCTACTCTGAAAATCTAACAGATCACGAAATCCCTACTTGGTGACTGTACCATAGACCCAAGAAGGCTGCTGTCCTCAAAGAACATACAGGTCACTGACAATCACCCAGTGATACTGTGAATTATCTACTATTTATGGAAATAATGGAAAAATCAACAAATTTCTCCCTTCTAAGTAACAAGCAATGAGATTATCTTGGAGAAGGGATTTTTTTTTTAGTCCAAATAGTCTGTGGGGTCCCATTTGGCTATGGGCTCATCAGAGGTGATTAATGAACCTTTAATAAGATTAGTAGACTTGGCAATCAGTCTGACTTAGAATTAACATGCCTTAATCAATAGCATGGAGTTAAGCAAGTATCAGTTAAGAATTTCTGAAACGTACACCGATACCAAGTGACCACTACCACGTTCTTTCCTACTATAACTCCTTGATTTAAGATAGAAGGCATTAAAAAACAATTGCCAGCTATAAAATAAACTTTACTCCACTGTCTCTACTCCCTAAAGAAAAAATCTTGTTTTTGTAAGACAAATCCACTGAATCATATAAATGTAATTAATGACAACGTAAATAAGGTAGAAGAAAGAAAACCTCCCAATTAGACTGGAAGCCCATGAAAGAATCATCATATCAGAAGAACCATTTTTCCAACAGTTCCGCTGCCATGAATGATATTTTCATGAGCCTGGGCGACCTTCTCCAGTGGATACTGAGAACCTATCACAGGTTTCAGCCAACCAATTTCCATTCCTGCTTGAAGAGCTGATGCAAATTGCTGAAATTCCTCCTAAGGGAAAGAAAAAAAAAAAATTGTTGTAGTGGACCAGATGGCTTAAGTTTTAGAAGCATTGAAAAAGCTTCAGAATTAAGAAATATATCACAAAGAGCCTCTTCCAAATTTGTGGTTTTTGTCAATTTGTCCAGAACTACATAAAACATAGGGTAACCCTCTAAAGGGTAACCCTAAGTCCTATTTGCCTGGAAGAGCATTAGTTTACAAAAATCCTACTGTCTTAACTACTAACACTATTCCCTTTCTCTCTCAAAAGTGCCTTGACTTGGGTAATAAATTATACTGTTGTCCTCACTGTCTGGTGACTAATCCTTACCTCCTCTTCTAGTCAGATAAGTCAGCATCATATGGACTTTATCTTTCAGTCTGCTGATATTTAAATTACCACAATCAAAACTACTTCTTTTCTGACCTTGGTTGATGAAAACAGAGAAATTCCGGTTATGCTAGACTCCTTTGCCATGGTGTCCCGTGGGTTTATTTCAATAGAACCTCTGCTGCCAACAACCTATTATGCAAACAACACATCCGCAGTTAAAGATTCCTGCAAAATAGTGTTAAATTGTGGTAAAACTTTAAAGTGGTAAAGAAAACTACTTACTATTACTCGTCCTCCATATGACAGAAGTTTCAAATCATTACTAAGATTTACATTAGCTAACATTTCAATAATCACATCAATTCCTTTTTCACCAACAGATTTCTATATAATAAAAAAGAATGTAAAGTCAGATAACAAGTGAAAAACACTATAAAACAGCTATTAAAGTGCATATTTTATGGAAACTTTTTCAAAATGACACATAAAGTGTTATCTTTTAAAGACTAGCAATGCAAATTTTTAAATGATATATAAAGATGATCTGATTTTAAGGTACCAGCCACAACCCTAAAATGGTAAAGATCTGTACCACATAAATTGCTGTAATGAAATAAAATTTGCCTGGAATTTTGAGGTGCTGCACTCAACTGCAACAGAAAATATTTTTTCCCTGGCTATCTCCAAGTCTTCTATCCCCAAAATGAACTTTTGCAGAGAAATAAACAACAAATAAAAAATTCAAGACTTTCAAGGAGCTCCTATTTTTATTTTTTAAAAAGAGCAAAAGAAACACAGCATTAGACTGTTGGGATTGCAGAGTGTGTGTGTGTGGGCACATGCATGTGAGTGTTTGGCTGTGTTCTAAATGATTTACAATCCACTTGTCACACTAATTCTCTTCTGTTGGTTCCCAACATCTAAAACTAGAACCTAAGAAAAGCTAATATATATCTGTTATATTTATTTTAACAAAAAATGAGTACCTGCGCCAGGTATTATGCTAGAAGGCAGAGAATCAGCATATGGAGATCAAAAACAAAGCTAGGAAGCAAGATGGAAAATACAATTCCCTACATGCTACCTTAGCAGAAATAAGCCAAAGTTATGGAAGAAAAAGTTAGTCTGATTGCCTGCAATAGTCAGAGGAAGTTCCACAGACAACGACCTGGATCCTGAGGCATGAAAAGAAGTTTAAGCAGAAAGGGAGGAGGAGCAAGGGGAAGCCAGACAAGAGGCAATCTCAATATGAGAATCTAAAAAGCAAGGGTTACAAGGAGAGCTTTTGAAGGAGGAGCAGCAGAAAACGGTGTGTGTCCTCAGCTTCCTGTTAATATAACAAAATACCTGAGGCAATCACTTTATGGAAGGGTTTACTCTGACCCACAATCTTGGACGTTGCAGTCTACAGCCCTGCTACTTTTGAGCCCACAGCAAGGCCGTGGGGGGCCCATGGGCGAACAAGCTGCTCACCTCATGGTGGCCAAGCAGCAGATGGCAATGTCCTAGTCACTTTGTCACTGGACACAATACCTGACACCCACGATTTAAGGAAGAAGAGCTTATTTTGCCTCACGGTTTGTAGAGGTTTCAGTCCGGCCAGCTAGCTGCAAGGCAGGGTGGCAGGCCAGAGGAGGCTTACACATAGCATGGTGGCAGGAAGCAGAGAGAGAGATCAAGGGAGGAGGATGGAGAAAGATCATTCCAGGCCACATCCCCACTGACCACCTCCTCCAACCAGGCTTTGCCTCCCAACATCACACTTAGCCTTAAATTCAGGTTGAATCCACTGCTGAGTATCACACATCCATGATCCAAAAGCCCCCTCTATGAGCCCATGAGGCTTTGGAGGGACATCTAGATATAAACCATAACAAAAGAGAAAGGAAGGCCCAAGGTCCCAATATGCCCTGAAGGGCATGCTTCTGTATGACTGGAAGACTTCCAACTCGGCTCCACCTCTTAAAGGTTCCACTCCCTCCCAATAATGCCATGGACTAGAGGACAGATTTTTAACACAGGGACCTCTGTGGGATGCTCATCCAAACCACTATGGGAGAGAAGAGACTGTAAATTGGTACAGATTGTGAAAATACACCACATGCCATGTTAAGGAATTTGGAAAAATATTTTTAAAGTAGGTGTTCATTAATCCATGTGCCCGGCACTGTGTTAGGCACTGCAAGAGCAAGAGAATACAAAAGAATGAAAACTCCCTCTAGTGATAAGAGATACTATTGAGTTATTTGTTTTCATTTGTTTTTTTTAAAGGATAGTAGAAAATATAAAAGAAGATAGTAGCTCAAATATGAGTAATAGCCAAGGATGGATAAATTGAGACCTAAGCTAAGTCCTGGGAGAATGAAAGAGGTCCATATTAAAGACACATCAGAGACAACACTGATAGAATGAGGTGAACAGCCTGACGGGTGGGAAGAGAATGGTGATTAGAAGGCATAGAAAAATGACAGGAGGGCTTCTGTCTTGGGTGATCAGATGAGTGGCAACCTCCAGCAGGCTGACAGCATGAAGGAATGGAACTTGGGACAGAGACAGTTTTAGAAATTCAGAGGATATGGGTAATAACTGACACCATGTGAATAATGAGACTGATCAGGATGGAAGTCTAGCATATGGAAGGCAAGAGCAATGGAAAAAACCCTAGAGACACTAATAGTTAAGTAATACGGAAAGAAAGTGGATTGAAAGTGAATTGTCAGAGAAGCACGAAGAGAATCAGCCTCTAGGCGATAGGATCAGGGTCACAAGCTCCAGAAAAATCAAACAGAATGAGGACTTCGACAAGCCCAGCAGCCTGGTGACCAAGCCTATCAGTGACCCCCGGCTACCAGTTTAAGTAGTTGGGATGCAGGTGAAACTGGAATGGAGGAAAGGGAGAAAAAGCAGATAAGTTCTCATTACTTTTTTAAGAAGTCTGATGGAAAAAGGGAGGAGAGAAAAGGGGTGAGCTGAGAGGATAGAGGAATGGTATCTACAGAGAGGGGGAGAAAGCTAGGCAGAGAGAATCAGTGAAAAGACCATGGTCTTTAGATTACTGCTACACAAAAGACACATTCACAAAGCAATCCATCATTTCTCATTGTTGTAAAGGTTCTTGGAGAATGGTATTAGCACTATGTACTGGATCCTAGGTTCCCTGGACATACACCTTTGCTGAGTTTCTTAGCAAAAGGGTTTTGTGATGATTAACTTTCACTTGTGTTTTTTCTCAGTTTGTAATGACCTAGTTTGCACAGTTGTCACAACTTGGGAAATTCTAATTCTTCCTAGGGGTTTGAAGATTAGCAAAGTAATCCATTTAGTAAACTGGTAGTAGAGTATAAATGAGGTACTTCAGAATCTGCTTGAACTCTCATGTAACAGCTAAATGTGACCACTCTGAATAAGATAGTAATCATTCCTCCAAAACACACAAGTAACAAATAAAACTTTATTTCCTGCCTAGACAGATCCATGGAATACTGGTATCCTGTGGATATCTTGTCTTCCATGGAAATTTCACATCTGTAAGAACAAAGCTGTAGCTTTACCTTAAAATGTGATTTGCATTAAAGAACATCAATTTTTATAGCTACAAGACTCTAGAAAGGTTATATTTAACACACATGCAATACAGAAAGCATAAAAGGTTATAAAGTGAACATCTCTGTTTTTAAAATTATTTAAAACTTTAAAACATGCATAGGCAGAAAAATACATATAGGCATAAGAGAGGAAGCAAACAACTTTAGGAGACTATTTGGTGAAAAAGTTTATAAAAAACCATGTAAGTGTCCAATAAACAATGTGTGACTTCTGTAAAACCATAGAAACTTTTACCTTGATTTTATCAATATAATTAGCTTCTCTGTGATCAAATACTTCATGGGCTCCATTTTGCAAAACAATCTTTCGTCCTTCCTCACTACTGGCTGTACCCAAAACCTTTAAGCCATAAGCTCTAGCAATTTGGCACGTGGCTAGTCCAACCTGAAAAAGAAAATATAAGCCAGTTATACATTCTCTGCATTCCTGCAAACACTTATTAAGTATCTATATACAATGAACTTCAGATTCTTTTAGGATTTAACCTACCCTGGGGGAACTTACAGCATACATGAAGAAATAGGAAAAATGACTTTTGGATTACAATTCTCTGGGTATAATATTAAATATACATATTGCTTTACTTCATCGTCATGATGATTCCATGAAGTAGGTATTATTTTTGTCTATATACTACAGATGAAGAAGCTCTAACTTCAAAATACAAGTACCTTGCCCAAGTCACCTACAGAGAAGGAACGGGAGCCGCACCAAGCGACTCTGCAGAACCAGCGTCGTTAACCACATCGCCACAATGTTCTGCTGTGTGCACAGGAACGGGCTTTAAATACGACCTGAACATGCTTTTACACTGCAACTAATTAAATAACAGAGCTAAGGCATTTATTAGTTAAGCAAAAGAGAAAGTTGGATGGGCAAATTCAGCTGTATGCTTATTAGGGTTTAAATATGAACTCGCGCCCAAAGACTCATGTATTGAGGACTTGATTGCCCGTGCAATAATGTTCAGAGGCAGGGCTTACAGAGGTGACTGGATCACCACTGCACTAATCTCATCCCCTGATGGATGAGTTTAGAGCTGAACGGGCCCTTGGAAAGGAAACCGCTGCAGGAAGTAGGTCACTGTGCTCAGGGGTGCCTTTGAAGGGTGTATTTTCCTCCCAGCTTCTCCCTGTCTCTGGCTCTCCCCCTCTGCTTTCTGGCAGTCATGTGAGCAGCTTCCCTCTGCCACACCCCTCTGCCATGATGTAATTGCCTTGCCACTGGCCTAAGAGCAGCAGAGCCAGTGCACCACAGGCTGAACCCTCTGAAGGCATAAGCCAAAATAACCTTCCCTCCTTAGAGCTGTTTATGTTAGCTCTTATGTCACAGCAAGAAAAGCTGACAAAATCCTGCACCATTTTTGAGTGCTTATTATGTGCAAGCCATGGTACTTAACGAAAAAAGCCTACATTCTAAGGGAGGGAGAGGTCATAAACACAGGTATAAATAAATGCATAAAATAAATCCATAAAATGGTAAGTGCTAAGAAAAAAGTAAAACTGGCTCTTGGGTTAGAAAGAGTTAGGAAAAGGGGTCTTTAGGGCCTCAGGGCTGCCACAGCAGAAACAAGGCCGAGAGGAAATGAACACCAAGCCATGGGAGAAGCCGAGCAGCCACAGAGGGGCTACTGTGCACAGAAGATGTGGACCCAGCGAACCAGGTGGAATGGAAATGCGCTGGAGGGTTCAGAGGACAGAGAGAGGGTCAATAAGGCTCAGACACAGAGCACATGAGGGAGAGGCACAAAGAGAGGAAGGGAGTAACACAGGAGCGTGGAGGTGAAGGTGAATGTTCCACATTAAGAACTATGCAGATTCATTAAGAGCCTACCCAGGGGAAATGCAGCATGACTTCAGGCTTTAGGAAAGGTCACTGCAATCATGCGGGAGGCTCAGAGACAGGAAGGAACAGTGGGGAAGGAAGGTCAGCTCGTGCCTGATATGGACACGTTATCGTGTCCAGATACAAGGAGAGGCTGGCTTGGAGTAAGCAGGTGGCACAGGAAAGAATAAAAACAAATTTAGACTCGGGTTAGAGGTAAGTGACTTCCTCATAGAGTAAATGTAGAAGGTGAAGATAAAAAGTCAAGGATACCTCCTAGGGCTTTGTCCAAATTCATGGGTTTCATTAACTGAGCAGCCAGTTTGTTGAAGCATGGAGAAATTCACTCAGAACATGCTGAGCTGCATGGTTCTCAGCAAAGTGGAGATGTTGTATAATCAGATGAATGTGGGTGTACCTTGGTTCACAAACTTAATTTGTTCTACAGTTCTGGAAAAGATGGCCACATTAGTGTTTGTGTGGGAAAGATCCCAGAGGTCATGTTTGTCACCTGATGCAGTTTGCAAACAAAAACAGTTTCCTCAAACACTTCTGTTTGTGAACCAAATTGTTTGCAAATGAAAGTGTTCATGAACCCAGGTACCACTGTATGACTTCGATTCAGAGCTGGAGGCAAAAATTGACGCCGATTATCTCTGAGGTGGTATTTAAAGCCAAAAGATTGGATGAAATCACTAGAACACCAGATAAGCATGCTTAGTATAAAACAAATAAAAGTAAAATTTAGGAATATAGGTACAAGAGCAGTTAGTTAAACAGTAATGCTGGGAAATATGTTTGATTCTAGGCCAAATGAATGGCACGGATAAGTGTCACACTGTTAGAGCAGAGTTTCTTGATCTTTGTACTGGTGACATTTTTTTGGCTGATACTTTCAGGTAACTTTCTTGGGGGGACTCTCCTGAACTTGGAAGAGAGGTCTGACAACATTCCCGGATTCTCCCCACTAGATGCCAGAATCTTATTCCTCAGGGTGACAACCAAAAAATGCCTCTAGACATTGACAAATGTCCCTGAGAGGAAGAGGGGAAAGATGCAAAATCGCCCCCTATTGATAACCGCAGGAAGGAATGGGTTGGGTAAGGTAGAAAATAATTAAAATGAAAAATGATGAAAGGAATCTGCTAAAAGTCCAGCAGTCACAAATTCCCAAAGCTGAAATGCACCTTAAAGACTGTGAGGCATATACGGTTGATGAGCCTGAACTCAGCCGGGTTACAGCAGAGATGTTTGATCTAACAAATACATGGAACTTTCTGTGTAAGGTGAAGAGAGATATCCAGTTGTACGAGATGCGAGACACCATGGGGTCAGCACAGTTGACTTCTACTCTTAATTTTCAATTAAAAAAATAGACCTCTAATCAAACCACATTTTAAAGATTTAATATAAATATATATCCTTATCCTCTATTTTTAAAAGAGTTCCCAATAGTTTTTTAAAGTGCAGTGTTTATTCTTGTCAACAGTTACAGTACAACACTTTCAATAGATTATGCACCATTATTATCAACTATTTTTCATTTACTTATTTTGCTAACACTGAAGTAGGGCACTCCTACCAATTCATGGGGATAACAGCTGTGTTCAAAAATCCCACACTGTTTCAAACATAGGACATCAGCCCAAAGGGATCTGACTTAAATGAAGACAGAAAGTACAAACAGAAACAAGCAAAACCCAGCCCTGTCTCCCTAGATAGGGAAGGAGGATCAGAAGAGCTTCACGTGCCAGGATGCCAGCCCTTCCCCACCAGCCAAGGATCTAACAAACTCAGCCGGCCCCCGGAACAGTGTGGATTTTACCTTTAAAACAATTCATAGTGAAGCGTCTGGGCTTTCTGCAAGAAGGTAAAGGGAATAAAGAGAGATTTTCTTTAAACTCTTCACTCTGGTTTCTACCGCAATTTTTCCCTTCTTACAGAACACAGGGTCAACTCTCAGAAAGCCAGCACAATTTAAATAAATGCATGTGTTTGACAGACCTTCAGTTATTTAGCATTAAATTTAATTTAACCCAAATATAGCCTCTTTGGTAAAGCTAAAAATATAGGCATTTTTAGGGCCAGGGATATTGCCGTGCCTGCCTGGTAAGTGCAAGGTCCTGAGTTCAATCCCCAGTACATTAAAAAAAAAAAAGAAGTTTTTGATAGGGTCTGTCATGTTTTCTCAAGCCTCATAAGGACAATCTTGGTGTTTTTTAGTAAATAGTCTGGTCTGTGAAATCATTCAGAATTGATCTATTTGGGGTTTATAGGTAGATAGGAAATTTTACGACTCATTTCTCTAAAGATGTAGAAAGGTGAAAAAGGACTGAATTCTCTATTCACGTTTAGAGGTGAATTCACATTTTCAGGGTACCACTCATTATTCGGGGCATAATCTGCCATGTAATTGGTCACCTCTTGCAATCTACTCCTTAGAATACAACGCGCTCTCAAAGGGTTCAGCCAGCTTCCTTCCACAAGGTGAGCTAGGCCCTGTATGTTTCAAAATGTGAAATCTTCTCTCCCAAATTTCTAAAGCCTCCACATGCAGGATAGGGGTCATGTGGATTTCTTGTTAAATTCCAACCTCCGAGCTCTCACTTTTGCTCTAAGCTCCTCAGAGCCAGATTGGCAGACCATTTCTTGAAGAGGTTTCTGACAGGCCTGCGCCGGGTGATTTCCAAGAAGGGCTGTTTTCTACCTTCCGAGTCCTCTCCCCGCAGCATTAGCATTTTAAGCCCTGGGTTGTGGTGTTAAGCACATAGCTGTACGCTGTGCACTCCATGAATGTCATCAAAGCGCAGCAGGCAAGCAGCGGAGGGAGAGAGAAAAGACGAATAACTCACAGTGTGGCTTTGCCATGCTGTCTGGGGCAACACAGGTAAAGCTTTAATGAGCCTTATTTCCTTATCTGAAGGAATATGGAATTGATATTAACCTTTAGAGCTGTTTAAAATTCTAAATAAATATTCTTGCAACATACGCTACTTGAAGGCAAAAACAAGGCCAGTTTATCTTGGTCCACACCCACTGTAGATGGAAAACCTAACACATACATCTTTGATGAGGTGATGTGTTGAATTCATTAGCCAAGAAATGCTAAACTAATGACAGAGAATCACCTTCAGAAGACTGAATTTTAAAAAGCTTCACTAAGGAGAGAACAGATTAAAAAAAGGCACTTGGGACTGCGGACGTTTAGGTTTTAAAAATGACTTCTTGTAGTGTGAAAACCACAAACCCAACCTCATCTAAACTTAAACTTAAAAAAAAAAAATACTTACTCCTCCACTAGCTCCATGAACCAGAACACTTTCTCCAGCTTTCACGCGGGCCCTGCATACAAAAAAAAAAGCACAGGTTCTATCACCTCATCTTTTGAAGTTAATTAAGTTCAAGCAGTTCACATTATCTTGAAGGACTCTACCGTATTCCAGCTAGGAAGAGCAAACGCACCCTCACGGCTTGGCTGGAGACACTCTCTAGGCTGTGCAGGATCAAACAACAGCTCTTCAGAGCTGCAGACAAAGAGCCCCTCCCACTCATTTATCCCTTCAGCAGATGCCTCCAGGGAGCCTTGCCAGGACCTGCGCTGGGTGCTGCTGCCAGGACTCGGTGCTCCCTGAGAGTGCTGCTGCAGTGCTCATGGGCTTGTTGAGTGCTGCTGCCACGCTCAGAGAAACTAGACTTTGTCATTCCCACAAGTGCCCACTGAACACATCCCTGGGCAGCTCCTCCAGCCCAGTTCCTATTCTGCGGTCCAGAGCCATGCGCCAGTACACAGAGCAATGAGACAATTTGCGGCTAGGGGTAGGAGAGAATTTTGACTTCTGCATGGCTTTGAGCATCAGGTTGCACCTGCCTTCACACTGTCATTCCAGAAAGCAGGGTTAAGTCAGCAAAGGACACATAATGAACCCTGCACAAAGGTTCCCGGGTCACCCCCCGCCCCATGACCAGATCCTCTCGGGAAAGGACGTAGTCTTTCACTTCTAGTTCCCATGAAACATTTCTGTTGTGCAGGGAAAGCCAGGAACCAGCGCCCAGACAGTCAGGGGATGCGTTGTGCTTCCAGACGGGCAAGTGCTACTGTCACAGCCAGCAGCTGCTGCGTGGCCCAGATCTGACTCCTGGGGAGAACCCCTGGCTTCCTAGGACTGTGGGGTGGCTGCTCGCCCCAAATGCTGTGCTCATCTAGGAGCCAAGTGCAGCGGCCCGGAGTCCTGCCCGTAGCCCTGTGCCAACCGCTGTGAGCCAAGGAAGCTTTCTGCCACTCCTGCTGGGGACAAAGGGGACTGAGGACAGTGAATTAAACTGAGGGTGTGAGTGAAAACCTGACCTAATCAGCGCCAAAAGCTTTGACTCTTCAGAGTGTTGGATCAGCAATACCACACTAGAGGACATGGATACTACACAATGACGGTTCTGAAAACGGACACACAACCCTTCGAACACTATGAACCTATTCTTCCAAGTCCCAAATCAGGAGTGAGGAGGAACATAGTCACACCCCTCCTGCACCCTCATCTGTCCTACGATCGTTGTATGCCTGCCTAGTCACTACGATGGTTAATTTTATGCCTCAACTTCACTGGGCCACGATGCCTCACATTTGTTCACTCACCATACCGGGAGCTTGTAGGAAGGCGTTTAGGGGGTGAGACTAACATTTAAACTGGTGGAGCCTGAGGACAGCAGGTCACCTCTGCAGTTGGGTGGGCCTCATCCAATCAGTGGCAAGTCTGCATAAAACGAAGACTGACCTCGTCCAAGAAAGAGAATTCTGCCAGCAGGCCAGCAGTGGACTTAAACTACAGCTGCTCCTGCGGCGCCAGCCTATCCCAGCAGATTTTAGATTTGCCAGACCTCTGCAATATCCTGAGCCATCACTGCTAAGTCCAACCACGGCTGCTTCTGCAGAGACCTCGATGCTGTGCTTGACACTCAGCCTCCCTCCCAAGCAGCCCTGTCAACTGCTGCTCCTGACACTGCCCACAGGTGCTGCCCTGAGAGCTTTTCCTGTTCATCACACTCCGGGAGCAGCTGCTGTTGTTACCCATGTTCATCCAATCAGTCAACTACACCTGCGACGCAGAAGTAACCTGACCCACGGCTGTAAACTTACTACTGGGTGAAGACAGTACGCTAGCCCAGGATTTTTATTTTTCAAAGTCCATGTGCTTACGGAATGCTACATGAATATCAGGACCTCTGCTCTCTCGTGGCCTTGGCATCCACTCCCTTCTGGTCCCTGAGGATGCGGTTCCCTTTCTGTGACCACATTCTTCAACAGTGACATTCACTAGGGTCCTATTCTCACTCCGCCAGGCACATCCATCACTTTGCATCTTGCCTACCCTCCCTTCCACGCCGACAGTCCTGAACTTCTCTCTCCAGCCATCGCCTCCAGACTCATTTAGACTTCTCCACTGAGGTGTCTGTCTCACACTTTCAAGTCCAAAACTGAACATAATTTACCTTCAAGACTCTCTTCTCTTTTTCTTTGTCGCAGTTATGCATTACCCAAGATAGAAAGCTACCTGTGTCCCTAAGCCCCTCCCCTTGGAGTATTCTCCACTTGCAAACAATTACCAAACACTTCTGCTTCTACCCACACTAAATAGCAGCTCTTTCCTCTCCCCGTCTTCTAGCATAACCTTTGCTCCACTCATAATTATTTTGTCCAGAAGAGGCTCCTACAAGACTCTCCTCTCTTCCCCATCCTTGTCTTCAAATCCATCCCTCACACAGCAGATGAGTGAACTCAATGAAACACAAATATAAAACACTCTCCTGAATCAGACATTTCATGAGCCTTAGTCCCTCACAGAACAATGTGTGAGCGCCATAGCCTAGATTTCTACAGTCTTAAACCTGTTTATTTTATGATAACAGCTAATAGTTTTTGAGAGATTAAGTTCCAACCTTAATCTTTGCTGTTCTTTGCTTTGCAATCTTCTATTCAACAAAACCAAATTGCTACAGCTCTTCTCAGACACCATGCTGTTTTCCCCACACACCACGCTGTTACCATTGTTGAAAATATCCTTACCCCCGCACCACTCCTCCTCGAGATCTGATCAAAACATAGATTCTCGAGTCTCAGTGGGTCTCGGGTAGGGCCTATAATGTACTTTTAAATTGCTGCCCAGATGGTTCTACCAGATAACAGAATTTTATGAACCACAGCTTTAAAATAATCCAAGCCTTATGCTTCTCCAGGAAACTGTGCCTCTCCATGAAACACACATCCCGTGTGATCCTCTAAATCCCTTCATACGTCTCCTCCTGTATTTTCCACACTTAGGTGAATATTATTACTCCACGTCTGCCTCTCTCACTGGACTCTGAGTATCTTTAAGATGGCCTTTGCTCTGCTCTGCTTTGTTGCCCTGGGATCACGACAGTCTCCCAAATTAACAGTTTCCAGACCATGAGTGCTGCATGGTAAATAACTAGTAACCAAAAGTAACAGAGAAATACATGGGTGAGTGGCAAGGAGGAGAGCAGCTGACACCACTCTCCTATGGGACTGGCTTTAAAATTCAGTGTGCCTTTACCTGTGCAGCAGAGCTCGACAGGCAGTGAAGTACGGGATCCCGATGGCAGCTCCCTGCCTGAAGTCCAGGTTCGTGGGCAGCATGTACACCGTGTGCTCTGTGGCCAGAGCGTACTCTGCATAGCCCCCCGAGATGGTGCTCGTGGTGAAGACTCTGTCGCCTTTCTGGGGAAGAGATCAAAGTAATACACGCATCAGGGCTTCTAAGCTGTGCAGGATGGGCAGAATCCTTTATAAGAAACCGTCACCATCATAAATAAATATTTACACATTATCTCCTACATCTTCGAATCTCATAAAAATAATTTTAGAATACGGACCACTATAATATGCTTGATTAATGGAAAAGAAAAATGAAGGGAAATGGGAAAATTAAAAGGAGAACCTCTTAAAGGGCATAATGATGAGAGTGAAGGTAAATCACCTTTACTGAGGTCTTACTAAGGCAAGCGCTGCTTTCAGTCTTATGAGCATTATCCCACTTGATCTTCACAATACTGTAACATGGGCACTTTAGTTACCTGCACTTTAAATCCCACTACATTGACAAGGAAATTGAAGTACAAAAAAGTTGTAGTTTCCTCCTATCAAGCAGTTAGCAAATGGCAGTCAATACAAATAGTTACTTCTGTGCCCAATACTTTAGGGCAAAGTTTCTTCCACGTACCAAGTGCTTTTCATTGATGTCCTTACCCTCGCAGTCCCATCATTTTCCGTGCATACACATAAAAGCAGGAAACCACAACGGGATCCATAAAGCAGGACGGGCCGGGGCAGGCTTTTTCACTTGTCCCCAGAATCACAGTAAGCTCTCAGCAAATGTCTTCTGAGCCCTCACCATAGAAAAGTATGCATGGCTTTATGGCTCCAATACAATCTGTGCCCTAGGGAAAATCAGACTGCCCACTATAACTGTCTACTCTAATGCTTCTTTCTTGCAAAAATACAAAGTAAATATTCTTTTCTTTTTTGTTTTTCTGGTACCGGGGATCATTGAACTCAGGACCTTGCGCTTGCTACAAGGCAGGAGCCAGCACCACTGAGCTAAATCCCTGGCCCCTAAAGTAAATAGTCTTTAGAGAAAACATCAGGCTGCTCGGTATACTTTAATTAGTCCAATAATAAAGAAATTGAATTGTAATAGCATCACGTAGAAGGATAAGAAAGATTCAAACAGCAAACAAGAGTTAAAGAAAAGCATCATCACTCAGTGCCATCCCCTGCAAATTCTCAAATATGATTAGATTAAGATTAGTCCCATTTCTGCAATTTAAATACACAAAAAACTCATGTCAATGTGTTATAGTGTAGATCTAAAATGTTCCGCAAGTCTCATGTGTTTCGGAGGTAATTAGATCATGGAGGTGCCACATGTATAAGCGGTTTAACTCTTGATTAGTTCAGCAGATAACTAGCTGTTAGGAGGTGGGGCCTGGTTGGGGGTGGGTCACTGGGCCTGTGACCCAGAAGGGCATATTCTTGTCCTTCCTGTCTCTCTCTGATAGGATAACGTGAATTAAACCACAGGCAGTGAGTATGCAAAGAGGAGGGAGAGCAGTTCTAGTAAGGGAGAGCTGAGTGAGGGAGAGTGAGATGCAACACAAAACCCAGAAGTCACCAATGCAGTCACACAAGAAAGGAATGGATCTGCAGTGAGGAAAGATGTGCTGTTTTAGTCACGCTGAGTAACAGGTTCCTGATTCTGACCATGTGGGGCCAGCGCTGTCCTACAGAACTTTCTGTGATGATGGAAGTGTTCTACATCTGCACTGTCTAGTAGGATACAGGCTAGATATGTGGGATGATAAAGCATGTGACACGTTGCCAGTGTGACTGAGGAGCTGGATTTTCAAACTGAATTTAAGTTAGCTTGATTTGAATTTTTTAATTGCCATGTGGAGCCAGTGGCCACCATTTTGGACACCACAGTTCCACAGGTTGGCTGAAAACCCTAAGCTAAAGATACCTCATGTGAGAACAGAAATAAAGGGAGTGCATGGAGTCATCACGATAAAGTACCCAACACAAATGCAAAAAGCAGAGATCTAAATAGGGACAGAGTCCTGGGTAGGACCAACATCTGAGAAGCATCTAGAGTTAAAGAGGCCTGAAAAAGGAATGCCCAGTGAGGAGGAGGGGTGATGAGGATAGGAGAAAAGGATGTCACAGAAGCTGAAGCTTTTGTTTTTGTTTTTAAGAAAAATTTAAGTGGTTGAGAGTGTCAAATGTCACAGAGAAGTCAAGAAAGATAATGACATAAAAGGGCCCATTAACTCCAGCAATACAGAGCCCATTAGTGACATTAGCAAGAATCTTCAGAGGAGCAACTGGGGCAGAAGCCAGATTGCCACCAGCTGAGAGGTGGAAAAGCAGTAGAAATGTGAAGTCTTCCTAGGCAGAGGCACGTTTTCTCTGCTCACTTTCAGCCCAGTCTTGGTAAATGCGCTGCCAAAGTTGAGCAGTTCAAGATATTCTGAGGAAGGATCCTAAACATGAGTAAGCTATGAGTGCACTACCTATGCTGTGCATTCCGTTGGTATACAAACTGCAAAAGCCCTGATCATAACACTTTTACTGACCCTGGTCTGATGCAGAGCCCCGAACTGTAAAGTGACCTTGCATGTTTTCATGCTTTACTTATTCTTCCAAAGAATGAATTTTCCCTTTATTTCATGCAACTAAATTTATAAAATAATTTTAAAATATGTTGGCTTGACAACTACTAAGTGTTAGGAAATAGTAGTATTTTTCTTTATTTACAAATTGGTATTAAATCAAAAGGATCACAGTTTATTCTGTGGAAATGTAAAGAGACAGAAATTATCTGGCACTGATTCCCACCAGTGCAAACAAACAAGGCCTCTGGATCAGGAATCATTTCTTTTTTGACGAGAGGAGTCCCCCAAGTGGCAGAAACTATGTAATGGGGCCTTTGAAAGCCTTAAATACAGATATATTTTAAAGCTGTGTTAAAGTAGTGTAAGAAAAAAATATTAAGCCAAATAGAAATAATTAAAAAATGCAATACCTGGAAAGCAGACACATTATTGCCAATGGATTCTATTACCCCAGCCACATCGGTGCCAGGAGTATATGGTAAGGGTGGTATCCTACTGTACGTCCCGGAACGGATATATGTCTCCACTGGGTTGACACCACATGCATGGACTTTGATTAGAACCTGCAATGACAAAGTATTTTAATTCACACAGAGCATTCAGGCATTCATTCAGGATTATGGGAACCGTAAACATAAAGAAAACAAAACAAATCAGTCCTCGCTTTCAACAAGCTCATATTCTAATTTTGCAAACCAACATGTAAATGAAAAGAAGGCAATATAAAAAACACTGCCATCCATATAAAAAAAATTGGGAAAACAGTAGAAGAAATAGTTAAAGGAGATGTGGCAGAGACCTCTATATGTTCATCGAATAGTTCCTCCTCTTTCTAGGTACAGAGGAAGGACATTACTTTCTGGCCTCCTTGATAATTATCAACATAGAAACCTTCCTAGGCAGCCTTTTAACCCTTCACAGAAACCTGAAAGTCAGGTGCTGACATTGGCAGAGTCCAAGTCACTGTGGGAAGAGCGCTACCCACCAACAGTTTAGAATTTGGGAAATAATTTTCTACTTTTGAATCATTAAGATTTTGTGGTTATATCTATTAGAGTAGCTAATTTTACCATTAATACAAAATAATTTTCTGATATAAGAGTGGGAGAAGGCTTACAGAAGAAGAAGTAGCATTTGATTTAGGCCTTAAAAGATGAGCAGAGGTTCTGCAGGAATGGAAGAAAAATGGGTATTTCAGGTAAAAAGAATGGTATGTACACTGACAGAAAGAATCTAAGGCCCTCTTGGGAAAAATGGATAGTTTGATGATGTTCAGCACAGTCGACTGAGGAAGTGATAAGAAACCATCTGTAAAGATAAGTTATAGTCAAACTGTAAAAATTCTCATAAGGCTTGCTGAGGAAATTAGAACTGGGAGCTATGGAAGGTGTGGTAATAAAAGTGCATAATTTTGAATCAAAAGGATATTGTTAACATCACTGGAGATGATTAAACTCTACAATTAAATTATCTTAAATCATATGTGAAAAAGCATGAATGAAGAAGCAAATTGTTTTCCCACCATGTGCAAAATAAAAATCACGGAAGTTTGCAATAGAAAAACTTACTCAAAACTACTTATGACTCCACTTAGGAAAATCCAATTATTACACTCCATAGTGGATTCTCGGCTTCAAACATTTTCTCTGTAACCATTTTCTATGTCTACTTCACTAATCAGATTTATGATAATTTTGTCAGGTTCAAAATATAAACAGTGCAAATTCTAAACAAATCCATTGTCTTCAGAAATCATTGTGAGTTCACCTCTTCTGAACCCTAACTTAATGTACTACAGTTTCACAGCTGGGATAATCACCGCCAGGGCAAAGTGATTATTTCTACCTGACGGTCTTTTGGAACTGGGACTACAACATCCGACAGGAGTTTCAGCACTTCTGGTCCACCAAATTCAAATACTCGAATCGCTCTCATCAACTTCTGTCCAGTTGCCATGGTGATCTAGATACTAAGAAAAAAATCAATATATTGTCATAACATATCTTGGCTATCACTGTGTGGTTTTTTCCCCTTGAGGGGGGCAGATCAAACAACTTTTCAAAAAAACAATTTAAATCATGAGGTTACCACTGATCTCATTTCATGTTTAAGGACCTTTCATCTTAGAAATCCTTCAGCTACAAAGCAAAATACTTCATAGGACTTCCTGTGGGGATTCAGCGCCTTCAACAAGGGATTAAACATGCAAACAGAAACATCTGGACAGACATAGCATGATACTGGTTTTTTTTCTCTTTCTTTCTTCTGTGTAAGCTTTGGGCCTCAACTTCTCAGAAATTTCAGGGGCTAATCTAAGATCTATGGACATTAAATAAATAAGACCCCTTTTGCTACATTGTGGAATATTTCAAACATACTGAGAAACACAAAGAATGTAATAAACACATTTATACTTAGCTTTAACAAATCTTAACATTGTAAAAACCTAAAATATTATTAAAGCCTATTGGACCCATCACTACAACCCTCTTCTGGCCCACCCTTTTAAGAGGTTATTATTACCATAATCTCTGTGCTAACACTCCCAAGCATATTATACCACTCCTACATGTGTTAGTGAGCAATATACGCTATTGTTTTGCATGCTTTCCAACTTTAGATTGTACTGTACTTAATTCTGCATTTTGCCTTTTTGCTTCAGCATTGAGTTGTTGAGATTTACCAATGTTGAAACATTTGACTTTAAGCAATTCGGTTTAAAAGGGAAAAATACTAAAAACTAAAAACACTGCTCTGTGTGCAATCTTTTGTGAATTACAAGTGCTCAGCTAATCTTTTTATGCTACCTCTGTTAATATTAAAATGAAAAGAAAACTCAAGAGTTCAACTCTACGAAAAGGCAAAGAGCATTTGTATACAAAATAATATAGTTTCAGAAAATCTTCCGTAACTATGAAGATGTAATGAGTTTTGACTACACCTCCAAATCAAATATTTTTAGATTCTTTTACCACCTACCATCTCTGCTAACTTCTGGAATAATCACATCCCTCAAACAGAAGCAGTTTAAATGTCAGAAAGAGTTGTAGGAACGAGGACCTGTGAGGAAGGAATTCGGACTTGGTGTAGGAGCTTAGCCTAGGACTCATCAGAACAGGCACTAGGCTGCTTTTTAAATGGTATTCCACAGGGTGGCAGGGGTGCCAAAATTATTTTGGTGGCATTACTAATGTAAAGATCTTGATACAATTAATCAAAAATGTATCATTTAAAAATCCTTCTGTTACAGTGATACAAAACAGTGCCTAGTACACAGAAGGATGTGAGATTTCCAGGTGATTCAGTGATGGCTTGTCGTGAAAGGCATCCTGGAAGGCAGAGCAGACATGGGCAGACAGGAGGACGCCAACTGTACCAGGGCATCTATCCGGGCAAGGCTGGGTGGGAAGATCAGGCAGACCTAGGCCCAGCTATTTCGCTACTGCACATTTCAGGTCTTCACTCCTGCTGGGACTTTCTTCAACAAGAAAGTGAAAACAGAAAAAAAATGAAAGAGAAAAAGCAAAGGTGGTCCAGATCAGTTTTCCACGGTGGAAAAAACAGAGCTTTTCCTTTCCTCTTTTTCTTCTGTTTTCAACACGGTGGTACGGAGGAGTATGGGTTTTAGAGTCCACCGGCTCTAGGTTTTGAGTCTTTGCTTTATCATTTACCAGCCACTGCACCTTGGGGAGCTGTCAGCCTTTTGAGCCCCAGTTTCTTCCCTGGAAAACTGGGCTCCCGCTCAGAATGACTGCGCTGGACACAGTGCACACCAAGCACAGCACTGTATACAGTGCGTCTCAGTCATCCTTTCCCACCTATTCTGCTTTCCAGTGTCTTAGCCATACACACATAGGCCATTCTTCAATGCAGTAATCACCCTTACTGTAACATAACAATGGTACAGGACCTGCTTGTGAAAACAACCTGGTGCCCGCAAAGAATGCAGTCTACATCATGTAAACGAAACATTAACACTAAAGATTGGTCATTTTTCATTCAAAATGTCCTTTTTAGTAATATAAAATGTGTTCAGATATTATGCTAAACCCAGCAAACAAAGGTCGCAGGGAAAATGCCATATACCCCCAGCTCCTGTGTGCTGCAGGCGCACACACACGCGCACAAACACACAAACACACACACACACACACACAGTGTAGCAACTATATTTTTTTCCATCAGTAGACATCACTATTGTCTCAGAAAGGGCCGGGGATTTAGCTCAGTGGTTCTGGCTCGCAAGTGCAAGGTCCTGAGTTCGATCCCCGATGCCAAAAAAACAAAAACAAAACTATTATCTCAAAAAAAGTAAAAATAGAATCAAAACTACTCTGAAATAGGATCTCTTGCTTGTATCTAACACTTTCACTTCCTCTACATTTTGGCATGGGCTACCCTAGGAGAAAGGAAGGGAAGAAGGCAGAAACTCGCCCTTAGCAGGTTGAGGGTACGAGGGCTTGGCCCAGGTCCTCCCTGGCCTAGGGAGCTGTGAAGGGCGGGCCTGACCCGGACCCCCTTCCACTTCACTTCTCTGGATCTTACTTCCCACTGGGCCTTCCCCATTCTGATTGATGGGTCTCCAGTCTACACTCACCGCCTTTGAACCCAACTACAAAATCATCACCTGTTTCATAATACAGGACCTATATCAAAGGGAAGTCTAAAAAGAATAAAATAATGTGGCCTACTAATAGCAATTATGGTAATTCTGAAATTCCCATAATACCTGACTTGTTCTGAAAAGCAAGTCCTTCACCATCATTGATATAACTATTTTCACAAACACTAGAGGAACAAGTTGTTAAACCTGTTATATAAAAATAAAATCGCCATTCATTTTATGAAAGAGCAAGAGGTTAAGAGATTTGGGTGGAGTCACAAAGAAACTGAGCTAGAACCCAAGTCTTACACCTTAAATGTTAGCTAATTTTACTCTTACTGTACAATCCTTTAAACGTTATCTTTTTTTATCTTTTTTTTTTTGGTACCAAGGATCGAACTCGGGACCTTGAGCTTGCAAGGCAGGCAGAGGAATAAACGTTATCTTTTGAAATACTAGCATAATTTCTTAGAAATAATTTTATAATTATGACATTGTGAGACTGAACTAGAGATGAAATTTATCCTATAGGTAGGATCACATACATTATGATCAAGTTCAAAATTTCTCAAAGGTTCATAAATCAAGAAACCCCACAGAAATAGAGGGCATAATTCTATTAGGAAAATTAATAATTTCTTTACCTGTAAAATGGGGATAGTGCCTACCTTAAGAGCTCTGTGAAGATAAACTTGAAAAATACAGGGAGAGTTTTTCACAGCACCCCAAGCAAATACTAAATCATTTGTGGACTCATAAAGGACAGGGAAGGACACTCCACTGCTTGTGGTTATAAATTAAACTGTGCCAAGAGGGTTTTCTATTTATCAGGCTTTTGTATTGATCAGATACATACTTTCAAATAAATTTTAATTTATTTTGGACTATTTAAAGTTTAATTTTTTTGGTTTTACTTTTTACTTCTGAAAGTTTGCCAACCATACTTCACAAGTCCGGGGGACCCACAAAATTTGTAATTCTTCTTCTAACAGTGATCATACCAGGCTATGCTTGAGTCCATGTGGTTTAAATGAAAATTAAAGGGATAGGGAAAAATGTTAGAATTTCATTTTAACATAGAATGAATAAGTCAATTCACGAAGCCAGTTTAAAGGCACATTATGAGACAAGAGTAAAATTAAGTGAGAATTTCCGGCAAAAAAAATTTTTTTTAACTGAAAACTTGGAAAGAAAAGCAACTATTACAAAATGTGCTGCTGTTGATCAAAAATGACTCATGTCATTTTGAGCATATCGCTTATCATTATTTTTTAAAGGTGATTCAGAGCAATTCTCTGTTAGATCTTCCCACTAGGCCGAATCTCACGGTCCGAGTCGGCTAGGGGTGGGGTAGGAGCGGGCTGATAGGTAATTCTGAAACCCTACAGGATGTCAATGGCGACTTGGGGTGGAAAGGGGCAGGCTGCTCTGCCAAGCTGGGAGTCAGCAGGGCGAGAGGAGCTGCTGAACTCGCGGGCCTGCGACCAAACACCCAGAGCCGGGTGTCTGTGGCCACGAAGTGCAAACCTCAGCCCCAGGACCCTCGGTCATTGACGCGCCCTCCCAGTCCCCGATGTAAGCCTCCTCTGGAAACTTTGCAAACAGGTCTTCACAGGGCATTTCGTCATGTTTTTTCTTTTGAAGATTCTTCTGGTGGGGAGCGACAGGATCAATGATCTATACGTTTTTCTCCAAAAAGAAGACACCGCGTGGGCACCCGGAGGAGGGGCAGCGCCTGACCCGCGGGCGCGGGAACCGGGCCCCCAGGTGGCTCTGCAGGGACCCCATGCCCGCAGGGGAGGAGGAACGGCTGCAGCCTCCAGGCCCCTTGGACCCTGGTCCTCGGGAGGACACACAGACGCTGCGGGAAAGAGGCGCAGACGAAATCAACGCGGCAACCTGAACTCAGGGGTCTTTTTTAAAACCACTTACCCGCCTCCAGAGTGGGGGTCAAAATCTGCTATGGCTCCACAGCAGGGAGAGGGCGGGCTGTTTCCAACTTTTGGAGACCCCACCTTCCTGCTCGCTTCGCGGAATGCGGAGGAAGTTTGGACCTGGACGGCCGCCACTCGCTCCAAGATGGCCGCCCCCAGGGATGAACGTGGAAGTGGAGAGTTGCGGCCTCTACCACCCTCTCTCATGGATCGCAGTGCGGAGTTCAGGAGGTGGAAGGCGCAGTGTCTGAGCAGAGCGGACCTCAGCAGGAAGGGCAGTGTGGACGAGGATGTAGCACACGTTGTGCAGCTCCTGAACACGCGGGAACAGTTTTTCACCACCAGTTCCTGCGCGGGCCGCATCCTCCTCATAGACGGGGTGAGGTCCCCCGTTCCCTCCCATGCCTGCCCCTAGTGCCAACTTTAGGAGCCGTGCGACCACCTAACGCTACATTCCGGCCAGCCTGTCTTCCCTCTGCAGGGTGGTCTCGGCTTCTCTGCGTAAGAAACGTAGGGATGAATTAGACCAGTGCTTCTAAAACAATTGTTTATTAATCTCCTAGAGGGTCGTTTAATAGATTCTGACTCCGTTGGTCAAAGGTGGGGTCGGTATTGTGCATATACAACCATCCCCCAAATGATGGCCCTATTGCCAGCCTGAGAAGTATCTTAAGTGGCCACAGTGTTCATTTGATTTTCTGAATACTTAAGGAATTAAAAGAATTTTTAGTGTGGCGAAGTTCATGCCAAAGACCGCATTTCAACCGTTTTACGGAATCCTTTGTCCAGTATTGAAATCACCAGGGTCAAGGTATTCATTGCCTCCTCGTGGCTAACTCCATTAGTACAGGTTCGGTAATTTTTCCGTCACAATTAAATAGTAGTATTATAGGCAGCTAAGTTAAATAGAAATTAATATACAGTCAGAGAGGGACTGAGCCCTCAAAGAAGTCAGCACAAAAAAATGAAGACATCAGAATCGTGGCTGGAGGAGCATCTGAAGAAGGCCGGGCCTCAAGATAAGAGATGCAGTGCCTCCTAAGAGATAAACAGTAATTATACTATACTTGGAATTATACTATAATTAGTACCACCTGGTCCAGGAAGTCCACCTATGCATCAGTCACCCAGGTGGGTGACCAGAACACCTGGACCCGTCCATTCCCTAAAATGGTTTTGTTCTTTACATGTACGCTTGCTATGTGACTTGTTACTTTTTTGGATTAATATTATTTTAGCAGCTATACTTGTAATCTTACAGGTTGATTGTAGTGTGATTCACATTGTACCCACGTTTTGACTTCGCTGTATAAATTACCCCTGACAAAGAGCCTGGCTGGCCATGCACTCAAGACCCTTCCTGGAAATGCAGGGGCTATTCTTTCCTTAATTCCAATAAAACTTTCCTAACTTCTTCCTTTGGTTCGTGACTTCATTCTTTGATGTTGTGAGACCACGGACTCTGCACATTTGACATCTTCACAGGTTGGGAGTTATATATGAGTAGTAGGAGATGGTGAGTGGTAAAGTCCTCAGGCTTTGAAGTGATGCTACTTAGAATCTAAACCAGTTATGGGAACTATATAAAGAGAATATGCTCCAAAGGAATTTTGTGTGGAGATAATGGGGTCATTTATTTTAAACCCTTTACTATCATGCCTGGCTCATGTTAAATGTGGTTTAAAGTTGGCTCTGTGTTCATTTTATTACCTGTATTCAGAGTATTGAAGATAGCACATTTATAAGTTTATTCTTTTGGTCCAGCATTGACTAGTCATTTGCATGTTTCATAAGTTAGCAAGGCCTGCTCTTTTTATATTGCTTCCATTTCATCCCAAGCATTGACACTCTTGCAGTAGTTTCAAAATGAGTCACTGAGCCACTGTTCTCTTTCTTGCAAGCCATGATATATGCTTACAGATCTGCTTTTTTCATGCAGAATTCTGTTAATCACGCACACATTTTTTACATTGGAAAATCCAATCCTCTACCTCTCACCCCCACTTTCTGCTATTCATATTTAACTAGTTGCTGTAACTGAACTATTTTCTATCTTGTATTTACCTGCTTTTACCCTTATACATGTTTTAACCCTGAAATATTTTACCTACCTTTGTATTTCTGAGTCATGATTCCCAAAACACATGTCTCTTGAGTACATACCCCACTTGGAAGTAATGACTCCTTCTGAACTGGCTCAGGACTTTATCTAAACCTCTTTTCATTTTATTTATTATCTTATACCTTGTGATATATTTTCAGTCTGCCTTATTTCAGACAGGATTTGGAGCAGCTTACAAAGAAGAAACAAAAAAATAAAAAGTGGAAAATCTGGATAAAGAAAATATGTGTAACATAACCCAGACATGACATTAGTTTCCAAATCATGCCATTAGATCCTGTAAACTTGGTAAAGGTGGACTGATATTTGACTCTGAGGTTTACAGGAGCCAGTGGAAAGTCAGATACATAGGTTATTAAAATCTTTATTCAGGACATACACAGCTCTTGCTGGCTCCGAGGCCAGACAGCAGCCTCCTGCAGGCCCACTGTATAAATAGTTACTTTGTAGAAGTATAGTGATTTCTGTGCATGTGGTTTCCTGCACCCTCTTTCTAGTGTCTTAAGGGTAGGATCTGTGTGTATGTCATAGAACTTTGCAAATAAACATTTGTCTGGCTTCAGTCACTGTTAAAATCTTTGCCTTCCTCGAACTTTGAACTTTCAGTCCTAGTTCCTGATGGAATTACATATAAAGTATAATATGAAATCTCAAATGTATGCCCATAGAACACAGGAAGCTTTAAAAAACTGAACAGCACAGATGTCTATAAAGAGTAGTATGCCTTGTGTGGAACTGGAGCAGTGCTGTCCTACAAAAGGAACTCAGATTCTTGTGTATGTGATTTAATACTGCACTAGCCAAATAAAACAGCTAGAATACAACTCAGATGCTGCTAGTGTAAAATCCCTTGTAATTCTTTTCTCTTTACAAAAACATGACCATATTTCAGAAAATATTAAATACTTTTATCTTTCAAATCATTTCAAGTTATTTTGATTCTTTTTTGGTTTGTGCAAACTTTACCCAAAAACATATTGAATTATTTTCATTAACACTTAAGTTTATTGATTTAGGAAGTCTGTAATATGCTATGCATTGTACCTATTTTTATAAGTATTATATGATTAAATTATTTTATTTGTTATTTTAGGGTATAAATGGTTTTGAAGTTCAGAAACAAAACTGTTGCTGGCTGCTGGTTACACACAAACCTTGTGTAAAAGAGGATGTGGTGAGTTTTTATATATATAAATTCAGAAATAAACTTAAATTCACAGTTACTTTAAATATGCATGAAAAGAATAGGACATTCAAGGTAATTTATGTGCATAATTATAATGAATGAAGATGATAAAGCCTAGAAAGTTTTCATTACAGTGTCTTTTTGGGGCTGGAGGAGATAAAAGTGTGGATGTATAGATATTTATGCACGCATTACTTACTGTGGCCCAACAAAAACATCCTTTTGGGCATAGCAGAAAGTTCATGGATGTTGGACATATTGGATCCAAATTTCGAATTTCATTTCTGCCATTTAATAACTAGCCTGGGACAGGTAATTGAAGGAGAAGGGGATTAGCCTTGCCTATGCCTTACTAGCTTTACTGATGTAAATAAATTGTACATTACTTACTTGGATTGCTTCTGGGAAATTTTCATATATGTGCTTGGTTATTTACTTTCCTAAATTGAAGTGTTTAGATGAGTTCATACAAGTTTGTGTTAACCAGGCACTTTTCAATCCTGGCCAACTTAGAAATTCAGTTCCATTTTATACAGATAGAAAGGACGGGGTGGGGGATGGAATCAGGCATTGCTGGCTCGGGTACTCAAAATGCTCTCTTCAGAGTGCTCCATCTTCCTCTTTGGGTACTGGCCTCTGTATTCTCCTCTGCTGCAGATGATTATTTTTGTAGCAGGAATTACAGCTGTTGGCAACTCTGACAAAAAGTGACTTGCCTTGCCTGAGATTCATGTATCATTCACAGAGAGGGATTCTGAGTTGTCCTGCACAGATTCACTGCTCTCCCTTTTAGATCAGTGCTTTTGGCTAGTGAGCTGATACATTGTCCTTGGTCAGACATAGGCACATGGCGCCTTGTATATGCCCGGGTGAGTGACTGAGTATGATTGATAGTTCCACCAGACTCAAAGGGTGTAAGGGAGGGAAGGTGCCACTCAGGAGTGCTGGGAAGACAGAAACAATAACCGTCTTGTATAAGTTCTAGCTCAGACTTAATATTACATGTTTCACCAGGTGACCCAGCTGTGCCACAGGATAGACTGTAACACGAGTGCAGCCAGGGTTAGACACAGCTAAATGCCGTGCAGGGGAGACGAGTACATGACTCAGAGTTGCTAGGAACTGACCAGACACACGTACCAGGCTCAAGTGGTGTCACGTTGACTTACAGCAGGAGGTTAGAGACAGAACAAGATCCAGCCTCTGACCATGTGTCAGGACCCATAACACATCCAAAAAGGGTGTCGTGACTGCAGGTACCCCACTTGGTGCTGCAGTGGAAGGACCCTGACCCCTGTTCCATGGGACCTGAAATCCAGAATGTTGGGGACATGCCCAAGGGCCATTAGTTTGCTTAATTTCAAATGATGCACATGTAACTAAGCAATTCCGAGGAAAGTTCACTTGTGCCCCATACACAGGGAACGGAAATGTACTGCCTGTGTTCTGTGGTTTTTGGGTCCAATATGATTAGGAGTTTACTAGTGTTCCTGTATAGAGCACAGTTGGGAGCAGAGCAGAAGCATCAGACTGCTTGGGCCTTCTCTCACAATATACATGTCTCTATTCAGTCTAGCAACAAATTTAAACAAGGTCCTAGTGTAATGGGATCCTGGGACAGGCCTTCAGGTTCTTGTGTATGATGAACAAAGCCTTTTCAATGTTGCATGCATCAGAAAGGAAAAAGCTAAGTTTCATGAAGTCTAAAGGTGAAAGGTACACTCAGAGCAAGCTGACTCATGCCAGCAGCAAGGAAAATGGCGCAAGCACAGAATATGTTGGGCTAATGGATTTAAAACATGTGCCTGGCATAGGACACTTCTCCTTGGGTTTTTGAGAGTATGACTGACAAAATGATTGACAGCGTGCTGAGTCACATCAGCTGTGTTTGCTGCAATGCCCCTTTTCCCTAATTCATTTGATTATAATTGGATGCATGAGGTGCTGTCCAGATGCATGAACCTTTAACAAGCTCCGGGTGAAGAAAGGTCATTCATTGTAGGTCATGCGGGCAGTCTGGCACACGTCCATTTTGGTTTGGAAATTCAGGCATTTCCAGGGGTCTTTGTTATTTCTATCTCTGCTTCTTCATAGTAGGCCTTAGAACTAAAGTCAAGGGTGTAGACCTGGGGCCCTCCCAGGTTCCAGTGAGTAGAGGGGAGTGGTCCCATAGCCCCTGATTGTACTATCTATACTAAGTGGACTCTCAAATTATGACCGGCCCAACATGTGAACAACTTGGGTTAATTAGGTTAATGGAAGATTCATCTGCCTCTTGTTATCTATAGCGTGTACCCAACATCCAGATCTTAGCTGTATTGACTTATGACCAACTTGAGTTACAACCAGCCTTCGGCAACTGATCAGGTTCATAAGTCAGAGGTCCACTGTACTAGGACAGTTTTCATATACCATATTCCTTGATGAAAAGTCTGTTAGAATTAAGTGAATGGTAGTTTTCTTAGTGTATAGTAATAGTTGGGAAAAAATGGTACAGAAGGGTTATAGGAGAATTGGAAATCAGGGCTTTTAAGAAAATAAGCAAATTAAAAAGTATCTTTGTGAGAGGATGAAGAAAGCAGAGGGAAAAGCTATTGCAGAAAAAAATATGCTGAGTGAGTCTGGAGCTCTAGGAAAAGCTGAAGTGGTAGCTGAGGTAAAGTGTCACCAAAGGGCAGGGTCACATCCTCGTGTCTCATGTCCTCACCCTTTGTCTGTTTAGATGGTAGCACTGAAGAAAGCCAGGGGCAATGCCGTTTTGAAATTTGAGCCGCTTGTCCTTCACGTGCAGTGTCAGCAGCTGCAGGACGCGCAGCTTCTGGTAAAGTCTTTGTACTGGAACTTATAGGCCTGCAAACTGACTTCATTCTAAGCTTTAAATCTTGAAAAATGTATATGTTTATGGAGCTAGTTTTTCTTTATTTATTAGACTGTATGATCTATTTGTGACTTTTACTATTAGGCAAAAAGAGTTCCCTAATAATCAATAGTGAGATTCAACATCCAAATTATGGTTCCTATGTTCTTCCTTAACCTTTCCTGTTTGTATATTTTGTATATTTTGTAATCCCAGCCAACTGGAAGGCTGAGAGGGGAAAATCACAAATGCAAGGGCAGCCTGGCCAAGATGGCAAGACCCTGGCTTAAAAATAATTATATAAGTTCATTTTGTCCTCATTGAAGTATTAGATAAACATCTGGTTAGTTGTGATTCTGTTTCATTGCCCTGTTCATTTTTATAGCTTTTATATGTTTATGTAGAAAGTTAAATTGCATCACAAGCATTTGCTTCGCAAGAATGCATGGAGTCCCAGTGTGTCAGGCCCCAGGGCGCAGTGACTAGCAAGATCAGAGACTGTCTCGGTTCCTCTGTGGAGGAGACAGCAAAAACAAGCAACAGCAAATAAGAGGAAAAATGTTCACAAAGGAATAAAATGAGCCAGTGATGGAGAATACCGTGAAGGGTGGTCTTTAGCACGGGGTTCACTGAAGAGGGTTCTTTAAGACAAGACTTAAAAGGAACAGAGAAAGCCAAGCCTGAAACCGGAAAATAAACATTCCAGGGGGATGAGATCTGGAGAAAAGAAGAGGCCACATCTGGTCCCATGACTCCCATTTAGAGACATGCAGATGTTCAGAGACTGATAAAGTAACCTGTAAAGTCAGAATTTTTACGCTTTTCTCCTATTATTTCAACAAACTTTACTTTAGAATTAGAAAAGACACGCTGAGATAAACTCTGTCTTTACTTGGAGAAAATACTGCACTCATTCAAAAGAGAAATGTTTTGTTTACTTTTATACAGCTTGGTTATGTGAATGATTTGTTTTTTGGTTATCTTCTGCTTTATGGACACAATCACTAGCCAGATGTCCCTATTGAATGCTAGTTTTACTCTTTCTTAATGACACTTCTAAAGTTGGTATTCTCTTATCTCTAATAGGACTTTTAAGCGTACCTAAGCCAAAAGAGCTTACTAGGTTTTGGGGTTATATATGTTTCTGCCACTTATAGAACTGAACAGATGATCTTATTAGCTGAGAATCTGAATTTAACAAATTTTCTTTTCTTACAGCATTCAGTGGCAGTTGATTCTGGTTTCAGGAACTCTGGCATCACAGTGGGAAAGAAAGGAAAGACTATGTTGGTAAGATAACTTTTGGCAAAAAGTAGTTCTTTGAGTGTGATTATTGAATGATCCAGATTATTGAATAACCTAATTAGACTCTTGCTTTTATTCTCTCCTCTCTCAAATTTTCTTTTCCGGAACCCTTCAGGGACATGCTCTTTCCTACAGGCAAAGTCCAGAGTTAGACTTCCAATTGAGTTCTTATTGCATGATACTGTTCTCTACTTACTTTCAACCAGGTTCTTGACTTTGTCCTCGACAGCCTGAGTAGTCTGGCCCCAGTTTAATGAGTAACAGGATGTAGAAGTGAGAGCTACAGAGGAGAAGTCTTGTGTGTTGATTCCACCGCCCCACAGCTACGCCACATGAACTTATGCAAGCTCCCTAGTCCCCGAGATCTGGACTTTGCATTTCTGTCACAGGCCCAGCAGACCACTGTCCCGCCCATAGGGAGCCAGGTCTCACTATACCCACTGGTGAATGATTGGCTAAAGTTGCTTTTGTGTCACAATGGCAAAAATCATGTAGTTGTGATCAATATCATGTAGTGAACAAGATCAAAAGTATTTGCTCTCTGTCCTTTCACAGAAAAAGTTTGCTAGATGATCTGTAAGTCGCTAAGTCCTACATTCTTTGGTCCTTGCCTGGCCAAGCCAACCCCTGTTGTGATCTCCTGTGATACTCTTTGGCCTAGCATGTGTTCTTTGTTTTTGAACTGTTTCAGATTACCCTGTATTCTGCCCCCTAGACTTTTTCTGTCTATTTTTAACAAATAGACTATTTCCAAAATAGGAATGGCTTACAAAGCAGCACGCCTGTATAAAGCATGACGAAAAGAAAATCAAGGTCTTCAGCGCCCTGCGCACGCGCACGCGCGCACAAACACACACACACACACACTCTGCATCTGGTGGCCAAGCAAGAGCAGAGCTGTTTTTACCTTCTTCTCCTTTGTCCTCTGAATCCAGTTGCGTACAGCTCCTATCTGTTGTGCCTCTCGTTTCTCACACCAGAACCCACCCCAGGGTCTCCAGATATTCTCCCTGATACGCAAAGCCTCACCCAGAATATTTTATGTCGACTCATTTATGTTCATCTCTCTCTAGCACACTTACGCTCCAGCCATGTAGAACTGTTAGCTGTTTCCCAAATGCATCCTGCTGTTCCATGTCTCTGTGCCCACAGACACCTCGCTTCTCTGGCTCAAATTCCCCTCTTCTCATTTATGTCTGGTGAAAGTTCACTTAGCCTTTGAAATCCCAACTCAACTTTCCCATAAAGTTTGAGTCCTCAGGCTTGATTAGCTGCTCCTGTTCCACATTTCATTCGCTCTGTGTGTGTGTGTGTGTGTGTGTGTGTGTGTGTGTGTGTGTGTGTGTGTGTGTGTGTGTGTGTGTGTTCTGTCATAACACCTTATGTGTTCCCATTCTTTGCCCATCTCTTTATTTTCTGTTCTAAAGTGGACTCTTAAGCACCAGGACTAACTTATATTCCTCTCACATCCTTACACCTTGTAGGGGGCTTAGAATATTTCAGAAGCTCAGTAAAATATCATTAAATGAATTTTATTGTTCATAGTAGCTGTGGTAGAGTGTTTGTTTGTTTGTTTGTTTTTCTGCTGTCTTTCTTAACTTCTATCCCTTGTTTGGAGTTTGTTGACTGTTTCAACAGCAGGGTTACTAAGATGGGAACCCCAAAACAAAGCAAGCAGCCACTTTGTGAGATAGAAGTGGCATGGTTTAATCTTATAACTGTATTCAGTTCAAGCAGCATTAAGAGACTGGCATCCAACCCTTTTGCTCTTCCCTTAAAGCTTTGTTATGGTTTCATTTCTTTCTTTAAATTGGGTATTAAAGCTTTCTAAGCCATAGTGAGATTGAAACTGTTAAAAGTTACTGGGTCCTTTGATATTATGTGTCTTTGAAAGACAATGTATGGAATGCCTTTCTTTGGAAATGACTGCCTATGATGGGAACAACTATTTAGTCCTTTTCGATTCACCTGTGTTCAGCTAAATTATATCAAAGCACAGATTTCCATGCTGTGATGGAGCCAAATCATGCTCAAACCCAACCATGGCTGGGCCTTTCCTTTAGTCATCTTCAGTGAGTCTGGTCTGTGAGTCTTCACATCTACACTGTGTTTTCTTTGTAGGCTGTCCGGAGTACACATGGCTTAGAAGTTCCATTAAGCAATCAGGGAAAATTGATGGTGACGGAGGAGTATATTGACTTCCTGTTAAATATAGCAAATCAAAAAATGGAGGAAAACAAGAAAAGAATTGAAAGGTATGAAAATTGGATATTTCTGTGCTACTCTTATATGCCTGGGTTTCCTTTAAAAATATTAATATATACTATCTTTAGTTTATAATCCCAGCTGCTCCTCTACTTGTAGTTTTGTTATGAACAATGGAAAGATGATCGAGATGATAGATGACAGTAAATCAGATTGTGATGGGCCCCGAGTGGGTCCTAAAGGGGAGGCTTCCTCAGAGATGGTTGGACATGTGGCCACTAATAAAGGGCATCAGTGTCATCACTCCGGAAAGAGCCCAGCAGTGGTAAGTTGAAGGCAGCCAGAACAGGTGTGCACACTGCCCCCTGGGTCTTGATCCTTGTGGAGTGAGAACAGCACGGTTAATTGAAATCTAATAAATATTTCACACCTCTGCTTCCTCGGTACCCAACTCTTGTCATAGATTAGCTCTAGAATTGCAAAAACTGGCCAACGAGGAAGGGTATAGCTATCGGTTCACATATTTATCCGTCTGTTGTTCCTGTATTCCACCCCCTGGCAAATGAAACTTAGCGTCACTTTCTTTTTCAACATTTTCCTAAGAAGAGAGTTTCTATATAAAGAATTAAGTCTCATGCTGCCTTTCATACATGAAGATAATGCCGCTGAACTGCCATCTCCGGCTTGTGCATTTCTGAGTTACTCAGGAGGGATGGCCAATTGGATGTCACTTATAATTTTCTGGTTTTGTTCTCCCCACTCTTGTGGCCCCGCACATCCCATCAGTTAGCACTTCTCTTTAGCCATTACCCTCTCCATCCTTACCGCAACTTTCTGCACTCAGGACACCTGCAGGAGCTTCATTAGCTGTTCTCACAATGGGATGTTTCTCTTAATGTATAATTTTCCACATCACACAAAATATGAATCACGTCTGTAGAGTGCAAAGGAATCTATTGCTTGGCTTGTCCACTTAAAACTCTTCAGAACCTGGCACTTTTTTGAGTCAGCCAAGACCAGAAGTACCAATGGTAGCAGCGTAGTGTGGTGAAAGAAAACTAGTCTTCAGAGGCTGAATTGGGTTCAAATCGTGGTTCTACCAAGTTGCTTTCTCGGCTTCATTTTTCTTATGTCTTATTTCTGGAAAATGCGTATCTTGAAGAATAATTTTTAGTATTGATTAGGTTGCATGTGCTCATGAGTGCTCCTCTGTGTCATGCCAAGGACTCTCAGAATAGGAGCACCCTATTCCTCCACTGGCTCATGGAGAATAAACCTATAACCACAGGAATACCATTATCCAGGCTTTCTCAGCCAAGTTTCCTCATTTGAACCATAGAATTCACAAAAGTAATAGCCTATTCTCTCAGTTCTCCCAGGGATGGTATATAACATGTACCATTTTAGATCCATTGGAGAGAAGTTAGTTCGTTATATCCATGGATGTCTTAAGAGAATGAGGGCCTAATTTCTAGCTGAACCCCAGTTGAAAAAAATGGACCATGAAAACCAGGCCACAAAGTACAAACATTGGAACCACAGTGATGATTTTAGGTAAGCCACTGGAGAGTACCTAGCCAGTCCACTAGATTTGAACGATACACGAGCACTTACTGGTGCCAGTCCAAAAGTTTATTGCATTTGTTAGGTAGTAATCCAGTGAAACTGTGTGCTAAAACAGAAGGTAGCAAATCAGTTTTCTCTATTTCTTTACTTGAATTTCAACAAGATTGTAAATATAGCCCAAGAGCAACTAACTATACACCTGGTGAAGTTAATTGAGCCACGTTCACCAACTATGAAATCAAATTATGCTTTAAATCCATTGACTCAAAAATATGTTTTGAGATTATAGTATGCATGCTGCTATCAAGAGAGCCATGCTCATCATATAAAATCAAGGAAAAATTAAAGAAGGCTAAAAGTGTCTTAAGATACTGATTACAAGATTACATGTGGATCCAGAAAGTGTGAACAAATTAGCAGCTCCTTTGGGAACAGCTGTATATTCTGCCAAATGCAGAGAAAGAGTTACTCTTCTGATGTAGAAAAGGGAAAAAAATCAAACACAGGGGATGATGACTTATGCAATCAGACAGGGATACTAAAATTGTCTTCTCATAAGACCAGTTTTGTAATTCAAATATCTACAGGAAAATTTTAAAAATTCCAAAAACCTAATGTATAACATTTCAGCACCAATAAATATTCTGGAAATATGGAAATCTTCAGAGGTAGAACATTTCTTTAAAAAAAAACCAAAAAAAAAAAAACAGGCCTTGTTTTTGAAAAACAAGATAGTTCCTAAGCCCACTTCCTTTTTCCAGGAATAGCCGAGTTCCTGTGGTGTCTGGTGCTGGCAGGACAAGGCCTGTGAGTAACAGCCTGCTTTATAAACAGCTAATTTGGAGACTCGAAGAGACAGGGCCTGACACCAAGCACAGTAAAATCACTTTATACATAATGATTTCCAGGTGAAAAATAAAAAGTTTGAATTATTTACTAACTACAAGAGGAAGGATTTCTTTGTGTCTATTAATAAGAAGTCAGGACATAAATCAGATGAAACCATTTGACTGTGAGTAGAATGAAATTAAGCATGTTCTTCTTTTCATCAGCTATGTAATAAGAAAATGTTAAATAAAACAGAGTAAAGGAGTTGAATCTATTGGCATATAATATTGTTAAGAATAAAGAACTTTGAAAGGCAAAGTAATTGAATCTATGTTTAGTGGTTGAGTTTTTAAAAAATTCCTTTTTCTGTGGTAAAATATGGATAATATGCAATTTACCATTTTAACCAGAGGCATTAAGGATATTCACATGCTTATATGACTGTCACCACCATCCATCTCCAGAACTTTCTCATCGTCCTGAACAGAAACTGTACCCATTAAACCATACTTCCAGCCCCTGGTCAACACAACCCCACTTTATGTCTCTGTGAGTTTGACTATTGTAGCTATTTGTTATGGTTCGGATCTTAAAGATTCCCCAAAAATTTCCTGTGTTGAAAGTTTAGTCACTGCAATAGTGTTCAGAAATAGGGGCTTTGGAGGGTGATTAGATCAAGAGAACTCTGTCCTCATGAATGGATTCATCCATTATGGATTCACAGCTTGCTGGGTTTGTGGAGAGAGACTGTCATAAAAACACTGTCTCCTCCTCCACTTCCTGGCTGCCATAAAGTGAGCAGCTTGTTCTACACAGGCTCCCCACCATTATATTCTGCCTCACCTCGGGCCCACAGTGACTGAGCCAACTGATCATAGATTGAAACTTCTGAATTCATTAGCCCAAAGAAGTTTCCATTTCAGTTGCTTATTTTGGGTGGTTTTCATGGTAATGGAAAGCTAACCAACATCGTAGTTCCCCTAAGTGAGATCATATATTTGTCCTTTTATACCTGGCTTATTTTCATGATTCATCCGTGCCATAGCATATATCGAAATTTCATTTTTGTTGAAGGCTGGAAAATACTACGTTGGATTTATATCCATTCACCCGTCAGTGGACATTTGGACTGTTTCCACCTTTGAGCTACTATAGATAATGCAAGCAGTAGTGTCAAGTGTCTCTTCAATATTCCTGTGCTCAGTTCTTTTGGGTATATACCCAGAAGTAGAACTGCTTCATTGTATGGTAATTCTGTATTTAATTTTTTGAGATGTACAATACTGTTTTCCACAACAGCACCACCAACAGTGATAAATCAGAACCATATTCTTGTCAATACTTAGTATTATCTGACTTTTTGACAATAACCAACCTAGTAGGGTATGCAGTTCCCTAGCTATTAGTGAGATTCAACATTGTTTCATGTTTGTCAGCCGTCTGCATTTTTTGGGAAAGTATCTATTCAAGTCCTTTGCCCATTTTTAATTGGATTGTTTGGGTTTTGGTGTGACTGTAAAAGTTCTTTATATATTCTGAATATTAACCGTTTATCAGATACATGATTTATAGGTGTTTTCTCCATTCTGAAGGTTGCTTTTTTACTTTGTAGTGTCGTTTGGTGCCTAAAAGCTTTAAATTTTTACGAAGTTCAGTTCATCTCTGTTTTCTTTTGTTGCTTGTGTTTTTTGATGTCTTACCCAAGAAATCATTGCCAAATTCAGTGTCAAGAAGCTTTCTCCTTATTTTTTTCCTAAGTTTTATAGTTTCAGTTCATGGCCTTTAGGTCTTTGAGTTACTTAGAGTTATCCAATGGCTGATTTTTAATACTGCTAAGTAAATGACTCAGTGGAGGCCGTAGGAAAGCTTTGTTGGCCATCCTCTTTCCACTAAACTGCTCTGCAAGTCATCTACAGAGTCATGTGACACCCAGGCCAGTTCTATTCTCAGTCTCTCTCAGCTTAGAATGAGTAGCCTTTACTCCCTCATAAAGGTGATAGGATGGATGAAGATGAACAAGTATTAATTGTTCTTTCAGCAAACGCAGAGAAAGCTGTAAGATGTGAGCGACTGCTGGGCACTGCGATTCGGAGATGAATTCAAACAGAACCTGCTCGGACAGCTTGATAGTAGCTTAATGGGGCCAGACTGGCACTGGCACAGACATAACTACTTCAGCCTGGGAAATGGCACGTGTCCTGAAAAAGCACAGAGTACTTTCAGATTTCAAAAAGAAGAAGCTGTGAAATTCAGTTGTGCAGGACAAGTGTAACCAAAGGGTGCTTCATGGAAGAAGGCAGTGAGCCATGCGGAAGGGCAGGCAGGATCCCTGGAGGAGGGAGTTGCGTGGCAAGGAGAAGGAGCAGCAGTAGCAGAGAAAGGGGTGGCAGTGCTTAGGCCCCAGCTAGGCTTGATACACACGGTAGAAGAAGAGAGAATTCTGTTCCGGTACTGCTGTTTTCCACCCTTCTTAGCTTCTTTTGTGGATTTCTACTTTGACTCTACCTCTTCTCCAAGATTCTGTTGCTGGGCATGGGTTCAGCTACTTCTCCCCTACTGATAAGTCTTCCACATCTCAACAGAAGCAGTACGCCTCTGATGCGCTTGCTCCTGTGGAAGTATGTTCTTCATGGCCTGCCTATGCAATATGGCTTTGCAGTTCTGCAGCTCCTGTTAAGCCGTGAGCATCTTGAGGGCAAGACCACACCTCTTACCTGTGTTTCTGGTACCAGGCACAGGCCTGTCACTCGCATGTCCTTGTATGAATTAGAACACCAGCACTTAATCACCTAAAATCCAAATACACGCATAGCAGAAGAGTCATCTTTGATATTTATAAATGATGTCAGCCTAAATAGATATGAAATTGGACCTAGATTTCCTCCAGTTTCTGTTCTTGTTTCAGAAGCTAAAGGATTCCCAGCTTTTCATGCAGGCAGTTCTCTGACCCTGAAAACCAAGGATATATTTTTTCAGGGCTGCCTAGAGTTCTCTCTCATGTAGAGAGTTAAATAGAAGTTGTCTTATGGCATGAGAACCTGGACTAGAGAAGTAGAAAAACTGAAGACAATTTGATTTTCTTTTGTTTTGGGGGGTGCATCCGTGCCTGAGTATACTTTTCTATTTATTAGGGGCCCTTTCTCTTGCCTTGAAGAGCTAAGAAAATTATACTTCGAGAAATGTTTTTCAGAATGCTGTGTAAATGGTCTCAGTATGAGGAGCAGATGAAGCAGTTTAGCCTGGCAAAGCCTTGAGCCTGTCGAATTCTGACCTTGACTCTCAACTCTGTGGTAGGTGCAGTATGGACAGAAAAAGCAGCCTCCACTGAGGGATGAGAGGAAATGATGTCTGTGAGTAGCCAGGTTTAGTCAAGGACATAAAGAGCACATTAAATGAAAAAGTTGTTGCCATGGAACAAGGCTCAAAATGTTACTTGGCAGTGTTTCTTAGTCTTTTTCCTTTTATTATACCTCCATCTTTGAGATTGATGTGTTCATTGAGATATTTTTTGAGCACCTACTGGATATCAAGGTATACCTTGATGAGTGCTTAAGTTCTTAAAATGTAGGCAAGATATGTAGTGGTCTTGTTGTATATATATTAGAGTTGTGTGGGCTGTTTGGGAGCCAGTGGATATTTGAGGTTTTAGAGTTTTAGAGCCATTCCAAGTAGAACCCAGCCTGTTCATTGAATTAGTGGTAACACGAGCCTGTAATCCAAACTAGTTAAGAGGCCGAAGCAGGATGGCAAATTTGAGGTCAGCCTGTAATTTAGCAAGACCTTGTGTCAAAATTTAAAATAAGTGAAGAAATAATGTTGGCCGTGTAGCACAGTGGTAGAGTAGCCCTGGGTCCAATCTCGAGGAAAGGAGGGAGGGAGGGAAGGATGGAGATTCAGAGCTGCCTTTTTTGTTCGGTGTTTATTCATTTATTCTGCACATCTTTACTGAGTGTTCCAGCTCTGTCCTGCATACTAAATATAGCAGAAAGCAAGTAGACACGTCCTTGGCCTCATCAAGTCTGTACTCCTTACATAAGGATAGTCATTATCAGGAAGTCCAGCCAGATGCTGCACTTGGTACTTACCTATCTCCCGTGCAATCCTCCGACACCTCTAATAGGCACCCAATAATAATACCCTGTTTTATAAACAGGGAAATCAAAGCACAGTGAAGTTAACTGGAACTCAGAGACCTCAGCTTTCCCACCAGAGCACTGGGTCTAACACATGCAGAATATCTGCTGCCTGGCCACAAGGAAAAAGCCTCCTGTGTCAGCAGAGTCACAGGGTGACATTGGCGTAGAGAAGCAGGGGAACCCGTTTTCAGGGAGCTTACAGATGATTGCAGCACAAACTTCATATTAAAGTCCAGTGAAAAAATGAATGAAGGAAAAGAATAATTGACATTTAAAAAGTCAGGTAGCTAATAAGTGAAAAGTTCAATTCCACTTTCAAAGAAATGAAAATTAATGAGATCCCATGTTCACCTGTCAAAGGAGGGCATGTTTTATTATCAGTCTATGAGGGAAGTGGTACTACTATTAGAAGCATATTTTTTGAACATTATTCTGGAAAACAGGCAATATTTATTGATTGTCTTAAAACATCTATAACAGTGATGGCGAGCCTTTTAGAACTTTCAGTGATAGAGCCTGCAGCAGCACGCATACTGTTTGTTCGCCTCCACTGCTCTATATCCTTTAACCATGCAATTGCATTTTTAGGTGTCTATTTTAAAGAAATGGCCAGAAATTCAGATCACATCATTTTCAAAAGTGTTTATCACACTGTTGTTTGTAATTAGGGAAAGGCCAATCTTGATGACTTAATATTATTATTAAAAGTATTACTTTGTAGCTTCTTTGATAATTTGAAAAATGTTTTCAATAAATATTAAATTTGAAAAAAGAATGTAAAACTTTATGATCTAATTGTGTAAAAATAGCTATATGTGTATTAATAAATACATTAATTCAGACTACATTAATAAGCTAGAAAAAAAATATTGGAAGTGTTTATTTCTAGGTAGAGGTAACCTATATTTGTAATTTCATTTTTCAGATTCTCTAAAGTGAGCCTTTTATTATGATTTTTAAAATAAAATAATAATTTCCATTTTTTTTAGCCCTCTTAGCTTAACCCCTACATTTGGAATGGAAATTGAGATTACATAGGCAGTGTCAAGAACCCAATTTTCAGGAGTTAATGAAGAACTGAAAAGACATTTATTTTCCTAATCCAACAGTGATAAGGCCGCAAAATATAGCTCTCTGATTATTTTGTATTTATAAGGCTAATAGAGGAAATTGTCAAATTTATGTAAGTTCCGGGTGTGTTTCAGCCATTCAGTTTGCAAATACACAGATAAAACAGTAGTACTTAATTCCTTACAGGTTTTACAACTGCCTACAGCATGCTTTGGAAAGAGAAACAATCACTAACTCACATCCCAAGATCAAAGAGAAAAACAACCCATCCTGTTCTCCTAAGAAAGAAAGAAACCCAGCAAAAGCACATGGCAAATGCACCCTTGAGGAAAATGATAAAGAAATTGAAAATGATGACGATGACGACCCAGGACTCGGTGTTGCTGTCTTCCCTGAAGACTACTAAGATTTGGTTCTGAAGTGTTTTGGTAAAATATTGTTTGTAATAGATTTTGTAAAGCTGCTCTTTATAAGAGTATTTTAGTTGCTGCTGAGTGTATTAGCTGTCAGAAGCAAGATCTGATTTCTCTGTTTTAGAGAAGCCCATCTTACGATCACAGGTGGCTTTTTAAAAATACCCTTGTGTACTGTTTACTCATTAAGTATTGCCTTTTTTAGGCATATAACATCATTACAAAAATAAAATTATGATTTTTAGTGCCTCCTTTAGTTTCAGTTTTCACTTCTATGAAATAGGAAAACTAAATATAATCTCCTTTCAAGACAACCTTAACATTTTGGGCATTTAAGTAAAAATGTGAATAATATTTCATACTTTTAATTTTGAAGCTTCCAGCTTTTAGAGGAAGGTCGGAATTTGCTTCCTTTGCTGTGGAGTCTGACAAGTTTTTCCCTCCTTTTCAACTTTTTGGATAAGATAATGTTATTATGTTTATGTTATTTCTCCCAGGTCAGAGCTTACCCCTGGCCCTATATCTGCACACCGTGTGCCCACTTTTCCACTGATCCTGATCAGAAATGGTCAGTCACACACAGGCTTCCTAATGGACGGAACAAATGTGCTGTGGAGAATTACAGGGATCAGAAGCTGTGGGTTTGAATTCTGAAGGCTGCACAGAAGTAAGAGGTCTTTGAGCAAATTTCTTGATTCCCAAGGGCTTCGCTCTTGTACGTAGTAGTAATTCTACTACCTGCCTGACTGACACTGTCAGAGCATTGGCAGGATCATGTTCAAAGTGAGAAAGTATTTGCTATTAGCCCACGATGCATATACATTACTATTTATTTTCATTATAGAATGAAAATGCTTTCATACTGTGTTTTCAGAGTGTACCAGGTCATAATTTATATTTGAAAGGAAATTCCTAGACATAGAATTAATAAATTATAAGATCAGAATGTCAAATGCAAAAAATTACATAAGGTAGTAAACACTAAAGTATGATTGTAGCATTTCCTAATATCTTTATAATTTGCCAAAGTGCTAACACTTTATAAATTATGTTTAGTTCAGCGGCTCGGCTGCTTGCCTTCAGGCAGCATTTTGTACTCTCAGTTTTAAAATCGGCTGATTTCATAGCCGTCTGCCAACCAGTCAGTAAATCAGCAGGGATGGTGTCCAGACAGTTCTAAAGTCACTGTCATTTTTCTTTATTCTGTTTCATCATTCCTCTGAAGTGCTCATCTTGGAAATATAAAATAAGAATACGTTACTTACTGACCTAATTTCTCATAACATTTTGGGAGTCTTCAAACCCAGTGCCTGGCCCTAGTGTGTTCTTATTTCATAGTTCTGGGGAACTTCCTCTGCATCCTCAGCCTGTGCTCTCCAGGGATATTCATGGGTTTCCTGAATTGTATCTTCTGGGTCGTTTCTTGATTTATGGAGAATCCTTTTTGTCTTCTTAATCCTTTCATTTTCTTAATAGTTTAATAGTAAACACATTAATAATTTTCTTTAACACTTATCCCACCTTAGAATCATTTTTAAGACTTTGACAAAATAAAAAAAGTACCCAAGAATTTCCAGGGAGGGTCATGAGGCCTTGCATATATGAAGTATGATAAAAAAAAAAAAAACGTGAATTTTTACATTTTTAAAATATATCAGTAAAATCCACATTATCATTAATCTCCCTCAAAATACTCCCATCCTAATCCCATCAATTATCCCATAATTCTTGCCGCTTTCTGAAGCAGTTCTGGAAGTCCTCTTTTTCCTCTTTCATTGCACTGTCATGGCTGCCTCACTGTCCTAAGTCCATTCAAAACATTTACCTTTCATGGCCCTTTTGACTCCAGGAAAGAGCCAGAAGTTGAATGATGCCAGATCCAGTGAATAAAGTGTGTGGGTCACACTGATGTTTTTATGAGCCTGCTTTTCTGCTGGGTGGCGCTTGGCAGAGTCACCTGAATTTTAATCATACCTCATAGAGACACAAAAGAGGAGCTGCAGAACTGCTTCAGAAAGTGACGGGATAAGCATGTTCAAAGAGAGGGTGTGGGATACCACTTCCAATTAGACGCAAAGCCTGGGAAACATAAGAGCATTGAGGACACTTCAGGTCACAACCCGGCTCTCAGGGACGTGTGCATAGCTGGCCACAGTTATGTAAGAGTGACTTAACATACTTAACCACGCAGTGCAGCATGGCCAGGTCACTGGGCTGTGTTTTGTCTCACCGTGTCCCAGTAAGCTGATAAGGCACCATAACTGTTGTGAACTAAAGAGCACTGTAGCTGTTTTGTTGCTGTTTTTGCTGAAGGAATGGATGAGCTCTGCAGCGCTGGAGCTCTGGCTCACCTGCTGCTGCTTTCACAGATCTCTCTGCATCTTGTTCTTCATGGGGGAATGAATTAACTCAATCGTGGTACTAAGGGCTATATGGATGGAATAGACCCTCTCCAGGTGCCCCAGGGGAGGCTGGGCCTTCACAGAGGGCCAGTGGGAGTGTTTTGAGGGGGATTCATGGCAATATATCTTTTACTGTAATACATTTTTTTAAAAACTTAAACATTCACTGTATTCTTCAATCACCACTTGTATATTTTTAAGATTCCCAAGTTCTCATCAAAAGTAAGGGGTGATAAATAACTAGGCATTCGCACGGGACTGTCCTTGGCCTCCCTTCTGCACCCATCTCTTCGCCCCCACCTCCTGCTCCATTCTCCCGGATTGGCTCATCAGACAGTACTTCCCACCTGCCTGGCCCTTCCCTGGCCTGTAAGCTCTGGCTAACTGGTAGACCTCCACAGCAACGCTGTTACTTTCTAACTTTTTTCTTTCTCTTGTTAAACTTCAATTTACAGGAAGTAGGTTTTCGTTGGGATTTTTTGTTGTTGTCTGAGCCAATAAGCATGTTTTCGTTGCTGGCTCTTCCAGGGACTGGTGTGGAATATGTAAGGTAAGAAAATCAAACACACAAACAGGTTCTCACCCTAGTGTCGTTTTTCAGATCCTGAAATCTTGAGTTGGTCGGCTCACCTCTCTGCCTTTCAGAGTCACATGCTTGCTGTCTGTATAATAGCCAGAGTTTTTAATTGCACCTAATGGAAAGAATAGGGAAAGATAAGTCTAATCCACCTTCCAGAAGCAGAAGGTGAATGTATTTTTAAAGTTATGTACAACCTCAAATTGTTGGGGCATTGTTGAGGACTCTTGAAACCCTGCCAGCATCCATGGATCCTTTATTTTTATGCTGTGCTCTACCTCCCAGCTTTTAGGCCTTGGTCACTGTCCCTTTAGGTTACTGGCATCTCTCCATCCTAAGGAAGTGAAGGTAAAGCACCGGATGTGTCCCCCTCCCCCAGCCATTGTCTCCTGGCCAATCATGGCAACTCCCTTGCCTGGGAGTCAGAAAGACGTGAATGTGTCATTGACCTCTAAACTCCCAGCAGAATCAGGCTGACACTGTGACTTCACCTGAAACTTTATCATGTTGTCACCACCCCTTTCCATTGCTGAGTAAATCACATACACTGAAATGGTGTCTTCTGTAAGAACCTGACCCAAGATGCCATTTAGATTATTTTGAATACATCATTAAAAAGTGATGGTATAAACCTATTGGGGGGGGGGTACCAGGGATCGAACTTGGATCCTTCCACTTGCAAGGCAGGCGGCAGAACCACTGAGCTAAATCCCCGGCCCCCGGTATAAACCTATTTTAAATAAATATTTATATTAAATAACAGTTGATACTTTGATGCTGGAAATTAGCATGATAGTTGTTACACGAGAAATGATACTGGCATTGATTTAAGTTTATGACACAAACGATGTGTACTAAATTTAGGATGGAAATTACATAGATTTAAAAATTCTCTTAAGAGTATATCCCTAACAATTTTAGATCTTCACTTGTATAATACATACTGTCACAAGGAATGAGAGGCGCAGTTGTTGATTCAAGACTAGGGAGAACAAGGCAGTTGAACAAGGTAAGGGACTTCCTGTAGAAATCCAATTTGGGGAAATATCATTTTGTTTAGGTCTTAAAGGTAAGATACAAGTTCACTCAATGGAAAAATGCAAGAAAAGCTCTCACAGAGGAAATGTGGAAAGGAACTGAGGCACCCACTGAGGAGCATGGCACATCCAGTCATACAAACATTTTAGAAACGCTGAGACACAGGACGTGTATGACAGGGGTTCCGCTTTCTAAAACACACTAGGTGTCCAGAACCAAAATCTTCAGATGAGTTGACTTGAACAACTCATCTGAGTGAATCATAAAATCAGCCTAGAACCTTTAGAACCCATTAGTAACAGTCTTGTCCTGAAGACAGCATTAAAATATATATATTCAGAGGTCGCAGTGTATCTATGCCCTGCGTTTCAGGTGTGCACATTTTAGGACAGATAAGTAGGAGCTTCCAATATATTAATTAGTTGATTTTCTGTCCTTACACTTGGGTCTAGGGTAGTTGCCCAAAGAGCCTGGCAATGTGTACAACTGAGCAAGTTGAACTCTGTACCACTCAGGAAGGGTCATTCCTCTAAATGACTCCTTGAAGTTGTGCAGTGCCCATTCTTAACTATGAACTTGCAGAGCAATCTTGCCAGGAAGGAACTCTGGACAGGAAAGAAAACTCAGTGACGGAATGTCTGGAACATTTCATCTCATTTAATGAATGGACTCTGAAAATGTCCACCAGACAGGTAAATGAAAAGAGAAACAAATACAAATAATCCCTAAATAAGGACAGTAGGAAACAGGTGGGGGAAGGGTATCCTGTGATGAAATGACAATGTACTTTGCAGTTTTAAAATATTTCTGAGACTCGTAATCTATTGACTTTTCTTCACTCAGTTAAACCAACCCCCGAGAGAACTGTGCATTCCAAGGATTCCGTAAATGGAGGATATGGATGGGAGCCTCCCATTCCCTTTATCTGAAGTAACAGAACTGCTCTGTTTCTCTCTGGTTAGTAGAGAGGAAAGACCAGGCTCTGGTTATAAATGCACGAAGACAGATTTTCATTCACTCTTTAACATCCCTTAACATATTATATTATTATGTTTATATATACAGTCCATAGGCCTAGTTGCTAATATTAATAACTGCAGTAGAGCAATTTAATAATAACAATATACAAGATTGCCAATTGAGAATTACCTTGGGGCTTCCTTTCATTGTAACTGAACCATCTACAGTAACAGGAATGTTTTCCTTAGAGGCAGACATTTATTCCCATGGTCTGAATT